GACCTGATTTTCAGGTTTAAAAACCCTGTTCGGGGTCGTCTTCTGTCTTTGGAGGGGTGACCCTATCATGATAGCAATAAACCTCTTGCTTTTGCATCGAGTGATGGTCTGTGAGAGTTCCTGTGAAGGGCGCGATCCTGAGCAGTGAGACTCCAGGTCTTACAGGTACAATAATGATTGTACAGGAGGGTTAAGAAGTCAAAATGGAGGACGCTACAGGCGATTGCACCCAGGAGAATTAGTGACCAGGAAAGCAATCCAGGGCACCGTCTTCAGACGCTCTCTGCCCTGAATCTGAGGTCTGCTCCCCTAGTCTTCCAGCTGCCGCTGTAACTGTCCCTGATGGATTGGCGTAGACTCAGCCAATTCTTAGCCAATTCCTCGGGGTCAGCAAGAGGCAGGCTTGGCAGTGATGGAAGGGAGAGGATTGACTGGTCCTGAAGGGCCGCAGAAGCTGTGGAGGTGTGGCTGATCCCATAGCCCAGTTCACTGACAAGAACGGTAATCGTCAGAAGTGATCTGATTATACATTTCTGGTGCCCATCCCTGCAGTCATGCTGAGTCGTACTCGAGGAGAATATGCTGGCTAGTTTTATGTCAGCTTGACACAAACTGCATTTTAGCAGAAGAAATTTCAATTCAGGAAACGAACCCACGAGATCGGCCCGTGGGAAAGCCTCTGGTACATTTTCCTTATTAACAATTCATGGTGGAGAAGCCAGCTCACTGTGGGTGCTGCCGCGTCTGGGATGGAGGTTGTATGAAAAGCAAACAGGTGCTGGGATCCAAAACCAAGTTCTCGGCAAGAGCAGGAAACACTCTTACCACTGAGCCAGCCCACGGTTAGTTACCTTTAACAAGAGTTAAAGCTGGAGCATGAAAGAAATATCCACAAGTCAAGACCACTCCAAGGAGAGGTTGGATCTGAGGGATTTGGTATATGGTGCCGAGGATGGTGTGTTTTTCCAGGAAAGGCACTCAGTGAAAATGAAGGCATGACTGCTTCTAGCTGTGTGCCTGCTCCTAGGTGTGGCTAAGAAGGTTTTGCTGGAGATATGAGGGAGCGCACAGCCAGAGGAAGGGTCCAGACTGAACCAGGCTGCAAGAGGAGATGGGGGGCAGAGAGGAAGAGAAGAGAAAGGGAAGAGGGGAGAGGGCAAAAGATAAAGAGAAGTCTGGGAGAGGAGCCAAGGTAAGACCAAGAGAAAGTGTGTAGTCAAGTGGCAGGTTTTGTTGAAGAGAAGCTGAGGGAAGGGAACGGAAGCTCAGGGGCTGGAGGGATTTGGGGGTGGGGGCACGGTGAGAAGTGCCGAGGAGCCAGGAGTAGCCGATGCCTGGCCAGCCGGTGTCTGCAGCAGCAGCTCAGAGCCCTGGCTTACAAGCAACCTTGTGAATGGCTCTACTCTTTGGAACCTCAAAGCCCGGCTCTAGTGACACCTCCCCCAACAAGGTCACACCTCCTAATGTCACCAAACACCCTGCCAAGTAAGTGTTCAGACCTGAGCAAGATGAAATCACTGATAGAGATGAGACTCTCTTCTGAGCCAGCCACAGGCCCTGTGGGGGCCCTTCTCCCACAAACCAACGGTTGATGTGAGAGGGCCCATCCCGGTGTGGGCCGCGCCGCCCTGGACAGGCGGTCCTGGGTCATATGAAAACGCAAGCGGGTGAGCACAAGGAGTAGGCCAGAAGCCACCTTCCTCTGTGGTCCCTGCTCCGGTTCCTGTCCTGACTTCCTGCCTCAGTTTTCCTCAGCGGTGGACTGTGATCAGGATCAAGCCAACTAAATCCCTTCCTCCCTAGGTTGCTTTAGGTCATGATCGTTAGAGCAGCATTAGAAAGCAAACTACAGCAACCAAGGACAGGCTTGGCTGGGTGTTGTTGAGTGTTTTCGAGCCTGTCAGACCCATGGATGCTTGTATGCTGCCCTGGAATTAGGGGCGTTTGAGAGAGAGAGATAGAGAGAATCTTTCTGTTCTAGGCAGTAGACTGATGTCTTGTTATGATAAAGAGCGTCCATGGGAGCAGGCTTTTCTCTGTGCTGGGTGTCCTTCACACAGGCAGAGCCTGGCTTAAAGGGCCAGTATCTGACAAGACTTGCAAGAAAAAAAAATGAGAAAATTAAATTTGTACTTATGTTTTGCTATGAAAACTCTGGAAAACCTCTAGTGGGGTAGGAGTTCCTTTGAGCGTGCATGTGGAGGAAGATTGTTGGGTTTCTGTTCTGGCAGAGGAGGGAACCTCAACTGAGAAAAATGCTTCCACACTATCAAGCCGTAGGCAGGCCTGTAGGGCATTTTCTCTTAATTAGCCATTGATCAGACAGGGCCCAGCACACTGGGGGTGGAGCCACGCCTGGGCTGGTTTTCCTCGGCAAGATAGGAGAGCAAGCCAGTGAGCAGTGCCCTCCCTGGCCTCTGCGCCAGCTCCTGCCTCCAGGTTCCTGTCCTGCTTGAGTTCCCGCCCCGACTTCCCTCAGTGATGGAGTATGATGTGGAAGTGTGAGCTGAGTAAAGCCTTTCCTCCCCTACTTGCTTTTGGTCATGGTGTGCCCTCACAGAAACAGGAACTCTGCCTAGGACAGTCTGTTTGAATGGGTAACCAGGGGAACTCCGACAGCACAATTGGGAGCGGAGTCTTCAGCAGAGGAGGAGTTGGATTATGCCCTTCGAGGACAGCATGAGCCTTCTGGGGGAAGGTAAAGGCGGCTGTAGGGTCTGGGGACAGGTGTAGGAGGACAAGAGTCACACTGCTGTAAGGACGATACTGTCAGGTGAGGCAGGCAGCATGGGAACTCCTGGGACTCCACGTGGTTGGGGCTACGCACACACCGCGTTTCTGACCGTGCGCGTGCCAGCCTGGAACCCTTCGCCTTGCGCACAGGGCACACCGTCCCTCTGTGAACAACGAATCTGTTAGTGAACTAGCACGCCCATCTGCTCTCACGCTCCACTCCGAGCAAGCTTCAGATTAGATTCTCCTCAGCTGTGCACGCTTACATCTAGGCATGGAAAGGAAGCCCAATCCTGCCAGGAACCATGCGTGCAGAGGGGGCCTGTGGCAAGCAAGTGAGCTTCCTGGAAGCGGCTCGCCCTCTTTGCACAGCTGACGACGACGAGGTCTGCCCTGTGAGGCATGGCCACAGGAACTTTATCTCTGCTTCGAGTCTGGCTGCTGATATGCCTCTCTGTGCTTGTCATTGCTGGGTCTCACATAGCTGGCATGGCATAGAGAAATGATGGCTGCCTATGCCCTGGTGTGCCTGCTTCACTCTGTCAGGCAGAGTTCCTGCAGATCAACATGAAGATGGGCTTTCATGAAATAATGTTATTTAGATGATGGTTTCTCTAATTCCTGATATTGATTTTATAGAATTCCTGATTCTGATCTTAAAATGAGTTATAGTAAGCCAATGAACAAAAGAAACCACCACCTTCTGGGAAATATGATTGTTAGAAACCACACATACACACACAGAAACACACACACAATACTTTCCAAACTGGGCATGGTGGCTCATGCCCTTAATCCCAGCACTCAGCCAGAGGTAGGTGGATCTCTGAGTGTGAGGCCAACCTGGTCTACAAAGAGAGTCTCTGGATAGCCTGGGCTACATAGAGAAACCCTGTCTGGAAAAACAAAAAAACAAAACAAAAAAAAAAACCAAAACCACAGAGCAAAAACCACTTGCTGAGACAGGAAACCCTGCGCTAACACTGCCTGGTACCGTGGCCTCCAGAGCCACACAGGGCCCCTGAAGCTGCCACCCTACACACGGAGCACGGAGGTCTGTCCTTTTACTCAAAATGACGTCCACTGGGTTTGGGCCATCACCTCCCCCGTGGCCCTGGGCTACGGCACAGCCACAGGGTCTATCAGTTCTGAAGCGTTTGACATGCTGCCTAAAACAGTCAAAGTGAAGGACACGCCATGGTCATACCTGGGGGGGTGGCCATAGTCCAGTCGTGTGCCCCTCGAGTGGCCGCAGGAATTACAGGAGGAGACGACGTCTTATGTCCCTGTACCCTCTGTCTTTTCACGGTCTTCTCTGCTGGGGGAGGGTGATGGCTCCCCGACTGCCCTCCTGACCAAACCCCCTATGTTTCTCTCTTCTTCTCCCAAATTACAGGGTTCCACACCTGTTGTCCCTCTGTTGTATGCATGTGACCTGTCCCTCCCCATCCTTCCTTCCTAACAGCTTCCCAGACCGACCTTCCTTTACCTGAGCCCCTCCCCGTGTGCTCTGGTGTACCCACACAGTACCCAGTCTGTACCACGGCACCCCACGTCCATCTACATGGCGAACCCCTTCTGGTCACTCGGTGGAACCCCACTGAGGAGCCGGCATTAGGCCCCGATGGGACGGTGCACACACTCAGAAGCTCATCCTCACCGTGACACAGTGGCCCTGCCGCCACCACTCGGAGCTCCACGGCTGGCAGCCGTCCCAGATCTCGCTTGACCTGGGAGCAGGACACAGGGTCCTCACGCTCAGCCCAGGAAGCTTGCTCTTGAGCGGGCTCCTAGCTGCCCTTTGACCCAGTGGGTCCTGACTCCATCCTGCTTCTACAGAAGGTGCAGCCAGGTCTCCAAGACAACCAGGTATGGTCTGACAGTGGGCACAGACCACAGGCGACCCCGTAGACCTGAGCCTGTTCCCACAGAAAATGGCACCAAAGCCAGAGGCGACCTCGGCTGCCTCCTGATCGCTGTCCCTTTAAGCCCCCCTGGTCTTCTCCCACAGTCCCAGGCCTTGTCTCTGATGTCTCCCGCAGACACCCTAGGTTAGGGATGGTGAAGAGGTGGACCAGACAACCAGCCAAGAGGGGCAGTGGGGGTGTTGGGGTACTAGAGTGCTTCCCCCCATCTGGCTTGCTGGCTTCCCCCTCCTTCAAGGCTCCACCTCCACCTCCAGGAAGCCCTCCCTCTGCACCTCACCCCCAACCGTGTTGAGCCGCCACGCCCCGTTTCTTCCTCCTGTGGGCTTTTGGGGTGCATCTGTTACAGTGCTCAGTGATGTGCTCCAGCTGGCGTGGCTGACTGGGCTCTGGTCGGCTGGATCTGGGCACCATGACTCAGCAGGCACTGCCGGCCTTGATACTTACGCTGGCTACCGTCCTGCCTGGCACTCTGGATGCCCAAGGTAAGCATTGCTCTCCATGCCCACGCTCCATGGGCAGATCCCACACCTCCCTAGGGACCGTTGGTCCTGAGCTTGATGCTCCTGAGGCCTCATCCTTCTTTCAGGGTCCTGGGGTGAGGATCTTGTCCTTTTGTCCCCTTTCAGAGCAGCCATCTGTGGGAAGTCTTGTGGGGAGGTGCAAAAGATCCCCAGAAAGACTACGGGAGGCTCGGGCTCCCAGGCATGATTCTTGGGCAAAAGCCAGCATAGCGTTCAGTCTGTGAGCTGCTGGGGTTCACACCCAGTCTGTGCACACAGGAAAATGGGTGGTGTGGGCCCCAAGCAGGCCCAAGCGGCTGGAAGCTGAAAGAGTAGGGATCTCCGCACAAGCCAGCGTGGGCCCTTCCGCAGGGCCACAGGCTCCGGAAGCCTGGAAATGACGGTGTGTGGGGAGGGGTGAGAGCAGCAGCGCTGGAAAGAGAAGAGCTGGGCAGTGGCTGCCTGGGAGGTGACTCCCTTGAGAGAAAGACAGAGACACAGAGGCAAAGAGGGTAGAGCCGGGTGGGAGTCCTCAAAAGGGAAAGGCCTAGTGTCGGGGTGCAACACACTCACAGACACCCCACCCCAGGCCACTCAGGACGTGAACAGTCATGGCAGCGGCAGCGTCTAGAGCTGCTCCAGCACCCGCACAGCACCTTCTTCAAAGCACCGTGTTAGCACAGGGTTGACCACAGGGCTGGCTCCGAGTCCCCACACCGTTCCTGCAGAGACGAGTATGAGCAAGGAGGCATCTCTCGGGATCCAGCACAGGAGAGTGAAGCCTCAGGGTGTGGAGGGAGGGGCTTCTGACACACCCCTGTGCACAGCAGAGTGAGATGGCCTGTGTGTACGCATGTGAGTGTGTGTGAGTGTGTGTGTGTGTGTGTGTGTGTGTGTGTGTGTGTGTGTGTGTGTGTGTGTGTGTGTGTGTGTGTGTGTGTGTGTGTGTGTGTGTGTGTGTGTGTGTGTGTGTGTGTGTGTGTGTGTGTGTGTGTGTGTGTGAGCATGCATGTGCGTGCGCTGTGTGAGATGCTTGAGTGTGCTTGGACTTATGTGAATGTGGGGTATGTGAGTCTCTGGGGTATGTGTTAACCTGTTCCAGTCACCAGTGCTGAGAGGGAAGGGGAAAGGCCTCTGCCAGCGCAGTGGCAACAGTTGCTGGTCCTTTACAGAGATGCAACAGTCTCCCCGTGGCCTGATGGCCTCTGAGGGCGACTCCGTCAGCATCACCTGCTCCACCAGCGGGAGCCTGGAAGGGATCTACCTGAAGAAGACCTGGCCACAGGCTCACAAGGTGGCCTACTTTGAAGATGGGGAGGAGCCCACGGTGGACCCGCTCTTCTCAGACCGGATTCACTTCTCCGGCTTCCAGAGGAACCTGACCATCACTGTGAGCCACCTCCGGCAGGAAGACACCGGAGTCTACCAGTGCGCGCCTGCCACAAGAGACAGTGTCTGTGGCTCACCCACTGTGCTTGTGGTGAGAGGTAGGGATGTGCCCATCTTGCTGCTGGCTGCTAGGGAGCCTCTGTCCGCCGGCTGGCACCTCTGCTCGGCGCCCACTTCTTCCTGGAGGTCCCCTGGCTGCTGCCCCTGTGCGGGCGCCATCTCTCCTCCCTGCCTTGACCCTAAGGCCTCGTGTGGTTCCCCTCCACACTCTCCCACCAACAGCTCTTTTTGTTCATCTTCCCAGAAATACTGTCCCAGGAAAACTGTCCCAATGGATCCAAGGAAGCTGTGATGAGCTCAGCTTCCTTCCCGGCTGTCCTTGCTGCAGGCTTCTTCCTCGCTGGGCTGACCCTGGCTGGGCTGGTCCTCGGGGTGCTGTGCATGCTCAGGAAGCCACAGGTCAGTGTGAGCCTACAGCCCTTCCCACGGGCCTATGGTCTGGGCAGGATGCCCAGACAAAGCCCTGAGGCCGCAGAGAGCGGTGTGCGTGAGCACCATTCAGGCACACTGGAGCAGGACGGTGAAGCCTAGAGACAGAGTGAGAGATGGCACTCGCCTCACGCGTGAACCCGTGTCTCTTTTCAGATCAAGAAACTGAGCATCTCCCGGGAGAAGGCCTCACAGTTCGTAGTATATGAGGACATGACCTGCGGCAACCCCAAGATTGCACGCATCCCCAACGTGTACCAGTGAGCTTTCTGCCCACACTCCCCCACAGCGTGTTTCCACAGAGCCCGCCACCCAGCGCAGCTGCCGGGCACCCAGCACCCTTCCCGTGCCCTCAGAGCCTGCCCTCTCGGTGCCTCTGGGTGGGTGGGGCTCCTCTGCACTCTGTCCCCAGCCCTAACCAGGTAACATGCATCAGGAGCAAAGCTTGTGGAGAAACGCTTGTACCTGCCTAAGAGCAGCCTGGCCAGAAAAAGAAAAGAATAAAGAAACAAATGCAAAAACAAAGCACTTGTATTTTGTTTTTCCTTCTCTCAACTCGGCTTTTATTTCCCAGCGTGCTCCTAGCTGAAGAGCTCCTAGCTGAAGAGGGCAGGAATTAAGATCAGACATCTGTGAGAGCAGAGAGGGTAAAAGTGGGGGAAGGGAAGCTCTCCTGGCCAGGCCCCCAGGAGCCTCAGCACTCACACCCCAAAAGGGAGCTCACCTAGATGGGTGAAGAACCAGGAGCAACGCCCTCATGTATTCTAGGCCATGTTTTTGAGGGCCCAGCCCTGCGGGGTCTCTGTTGGCACAGGCCCAAGGCCCTCAGTGAGAACAGCATGAGATATGGCCTTCCCAGACTCCCCGTTTGTCTCAGGGGCCCCTCCTGGGGACCGACACATAAAGCCACATCAATGCCAGCCCAGCGCCTGGGGCCAGCCCGGCTCCCAGGGTGCACCTGGGCTAGGACCCTCACTTCCCGTTCATGAGTAGGGAAGCTGAGGCCCGGGTGCTCGGCTGATCCACAGTGCGCTGCTCTGTCCCCATCTACCTCACGTTGCTGACCCCTGGGATAGCTGAAGACCTGCTCCACACCTTCACCGGCCACCACTGGCCTCCTGCCCTTCTGTCCCACCCCTGTTGCCCACACTATAAGGTGGGCATACAGGTCACACGGGTAATGGCGGCAGTGCAGTGGGCTGCTTAAGGCTCAGCCCCGCTCTTGCACCTGCGAAACAGGGCGGCAGAGACCGCAGCTCCACCTCCCTCATGGAGCCCCCTGTCCTGCCAGCCAGCCCCAGCTCAGCCTCCTCTCCCCAGGCTCACCTCTGCTCCCCAAGCTACCACCACGGCCTCAGACGCTGACGTGTGGTCACTGAGGCGACAGCGACAACAAGCCTGAAGTAGTCCCGAGCGTGGCGCCTGAGTCAGCCATGGAAGTCACTGTGGCTGTTGGTGCCCAGCCTGCTGGGCCTCCTGGATCCCCCAGGGGGCAGCTGAGGCCATTGACAATCCCAGCAAGCCTTGGTCTTTGTCCCTGTGCCCTCTCACTTGCTGCCCCAGGTCCCACCGGTCTGGGCCATGGTCCTGTGTCTAGGTAGCCTAGACCGAGCATGACCAGCCTCACTGAGAAAACATGACACCTTTCCAACCTTGAATGAGGCCTGAGAGACCGCCCTCCAAACCTAACAGCAGGCCCTCTGTTCTCCACCCACGGCTTGCTGGGCTGACCCAGCTCCCAGGCC